CCCCAAATACACTTACAAACACTTCTAACTTACACAAGATGTTAGTTCAAAGATGGTTTTCTCAGAGTGCAATTTGACAGAGTGTACAGAATTTTCCCTCCCCATAGGCCCCACATAAGTTTCCACACTACTAACAGTGAAATACGATGTTAGTTCACACAGGAGTCTTTCACAGTGGCTGGATCATGTCCCCTCTATATCTTTACCCACAGAGCATTTCAAACATTTCTAAATTACTGAAACAAGATGTTAGTTGAAATGCCCAAAGCTCATTTTGACGGAGTTGAGTACATGGTACCTTCCACCTAGTCCCTGCATTTTCAAACACCTCTGCGTGAAACAAGATGTTAGTTAAAAGATGACTTACTCAAGAATACTCAAAGTATTCTTTCATAGAGTTGAGTATATAATACTTACCTTGTAGGCTCCCTATAGGTTTAAAAACAGTTCTCATCTCGTTTCCCTAAGAAGGGGGAAAAAGGAAAAATGTTTCAAAACTTTATGTGGGGAATGATGCAGAAAGTGATGTATACCCCCCCCCACACACACACACACTGTAAAAGAGTGTGGTGCAGAAACCATCTTTCAAGTTATCTGTTTCAAAAGTCAGAGGCGTCTGAAACCGTATGCAGGGCCTAGCAGGAAAGTGCCATAAACTCAACGCTGTCAAAATGCATTTTGAGGAAACCTTCTTTCAACATCATGTAAAAGTACATTAGAAGTGTGTGAAAACTATGCGGGGAACGATGTTTAAAGAGACATAAAATTCCCCCTGTTAAAGAATCCTGTAGGGAAACCATCTTCAATATCTTATGTAACTAACATACAAGCGTTTGAAACTTCCCGGCCCCTATGTGGAAAGTGCCATGTACTCAACTTTAGCTGCACTTTGGGGAAACCATCTTTCTTAAAAGTGTTTGAAACCCTATGTGGGGAGTGATCTGGAAAATGACATGTATTCCGTACTCAAAGAATACTGTGAAGAAACCATCTTTCAACAAACATCTTGTTTGACTACGTTACAAGAGCGTGAAAACGTCAACAGATGTATATGGCAAGTGCTATATATTCAGCTATGTGAAGCCACACTGTGGGCAAACCATGTTCAACTAACATCTTTCTGTACGTTAGAAGAGGTTTAACAAGTATGGGAAGGTTATATGAAAGTGCCATTATATTCGCCTCTGACCAAATGCACTTTAGGTAAACCAACTTTCAAGTAACGTCTTGTAGCACCAAATTGGAATTGTTTGAAATCTTATGCAGAGAAATAGGAAAGTGATATGTGACCAAGGGAAGGAATACTGTAGAGAAGCCATCTTTCAACTAAAATCTTTTTCCACAGAGTTAGAACCGTTTGAAAACCTAGATAAGTCCTATGCGGAAAGTGGCATATGCTCAATTCTGTGAAAAAACACGGGTCTGAAACAGGCTTTCAACTAATATGGTGTTTCTCTACATGAAAACTGAAAATTTATGCGGGACCGACAAAGTACATAGCATATGGTCAACTTTGTGAAAGAACCCTGTGGGTAGACCATCTTTTAGCTAACATCTATTTACACTCATAAATGTGAAAATCTCTGTGGGGGCTAAGAATAAAGTTCCATATACTCAATAAACTCTGTCAGATTGCATTTTGGGAAACAATCATTATCACTGTTACAGTGGTTTGAAACGTTTGCGGGAAGATGAGGAAAGTATGCCAATGACTTTGAAAGAATCCTGTGGAGGAACCATCTTCAACCAGCTTCCTGAATAGCTAAGTTTTTTGAAAACATATGCGCGGCCTGGGTGTCAAGTGCCATATACTCAACTTTGTCATACTGCACGTTGGGGAATCCATCTCTCACATACCACCCGGTTCAACTACATTGGAAGTGTTTGAAAACCCATGTGGGGCCTAGAAAGTGCGATACACTCAATACTGAGATACAAAATTGTGTGTGGGGGGGGGAGTGGGAGGGGAAACCCTCATCTTTCAACTAATATCTTGTTTCAGTGAGAACTGTTGAAAACCTATGTGAGGCCAAAAAGGTAAGTGCCATATAAGGAATCTTGTGAAAGCACACTGTGGGTGAACCATCATTTACTAACATCTTGTTTCACTCAGAAGTGTTTGAAAACGTACGCGGGAAACAATGTCGAAAGTGATTTCTCCCAGCCACTGTGAAAGAATTCTGTGGACAAACCACTTTTCAACTAACATGTTTCACTATATTAGAAGTGTTTGAAAACCCATTCGCAAACTCTGGAAAGTGTGATATACTGAACTCTGCCAAACTGCACTTTGGGGAAACCATCTTTCCAAAAACGTCTGGTCAACAACTTGGATATCTTTTGAAAAGCCATGCAGGACCTAGATGGAAAGTGCCATACCCTCAACTCTGTGAAACAACACTGTGGTGAAACCATCATTCAACTAACATCTTGATCCATTGGGGGAACTGTTTGAAAACCTATTTGGGGCCTACCATGTAAGTGCCATTATACTCAACTCTGGGAAAGAATACGGTGTGTTAATCCCTTTATAACTAACATTTTGTTTCACTCAGAAGTATTTGAAAATGGATGCGGGGATTCTGCAGAAAACGCCTTATACTCAACTCTGTCAAACTGCACTTTGGGAAAACCATATTTCCACATCTTGTATCACTATGTTACAAATATTTGAAAATATTTGCAGGGAACGAAGAAAGTGACATGTACCAGCCACTGTGAAAGAGTACTGTGGAGAAACCTTCTTTCAACTAGCTTTTTGTATCACTAAGTTATGTATTTGAAAACCTAGGCGAAGCTTATGTGGAAATTACCCTATACTCATATCTGTCGAAACGCACGATGGGGGAACCATCTTTCAACTTATCGTGTTTCATAGTGAGAACTCTGGAAACCTATGCGGGGCCTACAAGTAAGTTCCATATACTCAATTCTGTGAAATAACACCCTGGGTAATACATCTTTTAACTAATATCTAGTCTCACCTTGTTAGAAGTGTCCTGAAACCTATGAGGGACTCTGCGGAACGCACCTTAGACTCAACTCTGTCAAACTGCACTTTAGTAAAAGAATTTTTCAACTTATATTTTGTATCACTCCGTTAGAGATAGTTGACAACCTATGCAGGGAACGACTTGGAAAGTGAAATAAACCAGCAAGTGTGAAAACCTACTGTGCAGAAAACACTTTCAACTCTCACCCGGTTTCTCCAAGTTAGAAGTGGTTGGAGCCTATGAGGAAAGAGCCATAGAGTCAATTCTATCAAACGACGCTTCGGGAAACCTAATAAAAGTTTGCGTCACTACACTAGAAGTGTTTGAAATACTCTGCGCGGAACGATGTGAAAAGTGACGTATGCCAGCAACTGTGAAAGAGTACTGTAGAGAAGCCATTTTCAACTAACCTGTTGTATAACTAAGCTAGAAGTGTTTGAAAACCTAAGCATTATCTATGTGGAAAGTGCCATGTGAGTCCATGTCGAAATGCACTTTAGTAAAACTTACCTTTCAACTAACATCTGCTTCAACAAACATAAAATTGTTTGAAAACCTATGTTGTGCCCAGAAGGAAAGAACAATACACTCAATTCAATGAAACAACACTGGGGAAAAATCTTTCAATTACCATCTTGTTTCACTAAGAACTGAACATATATGGGGGCTTATGAGGAAAGGGTCACCTACTCAACCCTGTCAAAATGAACTTTGGGGACAGCACCATCTTTCAAGTAACATCTTGCACAAGGAAATTAGAATTGTTTGAAAACCTATGCGGGCAACAATGGGGAAAGTGACATTTACTCGACCCTGTGAAGGAAGACTGGAGAAATTATCTTTCAATAGACATGTTGTTACACTACATGAGAACTGTTTAAAAACTTATGTGAGGCCTCAAAAGAAAGTGCCATAGGCTCACCCTTGTGAAAAAACACTGCAGGTGTTCTTTTAACTAATCATCAATCATCTATTAAAAAACATCTTATGTCACTCAGTACTCTTTAAAATTTTTTGCCGAGACTACACAGAAAGTGCCATATGAAACTCAACTATGTCAAACTGCACTTTGAGGAAACCACCTCTCAACTAATATCTGGTTCAACAATCTTGGAAATGTTTAAAAACCGATGCAAGGCCTAGAAGGAAAGCGCCATAAATTCAACACTGTGAACCAACACTGGAGGAAAGCACCTTTAAAAATCTTGTTTCATTAAGTTAGAATTTTTTAAAAAGCCTATGGGGGCTAATAAAGTGCCACATAAATTTTCGGCAAACCGTGTTTCAAACAACATAGTGTTTCACAGTGTGAGGAGTTTTTGAAAAAATATGCTGGGAACAATGAAGAAAGTGACAAATACTTGACTGAAAACTTGGAGTTTTCACTTGAAAACTGAGAAATAATATTTCAACTCACATCTGGTTTCTCTAAGTTATACCTGTTTCAAAACCTATGTGGTGCCTATGTGGAATTGTCCATATACTCAACGGTGACAAAGTGTTTTTTTGGGAAGTTATAATTCAGATCGTGCAAAATTAGGTTAGAAGTGATTGAGGACCTGGGAAGGAAAACCGTGAAATATACCAACCACTGTGAAAAACCCCGTGGTGAAAGCATCTTTCAAGTAACATCTTGTAACTCTACGTTAGAATTGTTCGAAATCTATGCAGGGGACGAAGGGGAATGTGCCATATACCAGCCACTGTGAAAGAATCCTGTGGAGAAAGCGTATGTCAACTATCTTCATGTTTGACTATGTTAGCAGAGTTTGAAACCCAAGTGGGGCCTATGGGCAAAGTCCCATATAGGCAATTCTGGGAAGATGAACTTTGGGTAAACAATCTTTCAACTAAATTCTTGCATACCTATGGTAGAATTGTTTGAAAACGTAGGCGGGGAACAATGTGGAAAGTGACATATATTAAATAATATGAAAAAATGCAGAGAAGCCATCTTTCAAACATCTAGTTTGACTCTTTGAGAAGAGTTTGAAAACGTATGCGAACATGTACGGTAAGTGCTCCATACTCAGCTAAGGTGAAACAACACTGTGGGAGAAATATCTTTCAACTAAAATCTTTCTATACATTAGAAGTTGAACAATTACGTGAGGACTATACTGAAAGTGCCATCATCTCTATGAAAATGCACTTTGGAAAACCATCTTTCACATACATCTTGTATCTCAAAGCTGGAATTGTTTGAAATTTTATGCAGGGAACAATGTGAAAAGTGACATTTATTGGACACTGTGAAGGAATACAGTGGAGATACCACCTTTCAACTAATACCTGTTTCACGATGTAAGCACGGTTAGGAAACCTATTTGGGGCCGAAGCAGTAAGTATATACGCAATTTTGTGAAAAAACAACGTGATGTAGAATCACCTCTGTGGAAACATACTGTGGAGAAAGGATCTTTCAGCTAACATCTGGTTTCTCTAAGTTAAAATGTTCGAAAACCTATGCGGGGTCTAACCGGAAGCAGCCGTATACTCAATTATGTGGAAACACACTGTGGTGATACCGCCTTTTACTATCTTGTTTCACTTGGTC